AAATCCATTAAACGGGGAAGAGAAGGTTTGTTTAATGAATGGTGCTGGCAAAACTGGAGATCCATTTGCAGAAAAATGAAACAAGATCTGTACCTCACACCGTATACAAAAATGAACTCCAGATGGATCAAAGACTTAAATGTGAAACCTAAAACTATACAGTTCCTCAAGGAAAATCTAAGGGAAAATTTAAGAGCCCTAGTACATGGCATAAACAGACTATCAAGCATAACTCAAAACACACAAACAGCAGAAAAGAAACCAGATGATTGGGACCTTCTAAAAATTTAATTTTTATGTGCTTCCAAAGACTTCTCCAAAAGAGTCAAAAGAACACCAAAATTCATGGAAACAATTAGTCCTAGCGACTGATACACCATCTCATCTGCAGCCTATACAATTATGAGACCAGAAGAACTACATTACATGGTGCCCGGCTACCAATGTCACCCACTTGAAAGGGGATCTATGTAGGAGATCCTTGACAGAGAGGGAGAACAATGTTGAACAAAACTCAAAATCATTTGTAGAAAAAAAAGAAGGGGGACCAGGTTTGCTGGTTCAACAGAGCCTGGTGGAACCACTGAGACTATGGCACCTAGCTGCCCTTTGGGTCTGGAATTGAACCAACCCACACCTGTGGTTTCCAGCCAAACAAAATACAGGCATATGAGTTGAACATTCACCTGAGGTAGATACATTTCTTGGAGAGAATAATCATGGGAGAAAGAAGGGCTGCTTATGCACAGGGAGACACCTCAGGGGGCAGGAGTCTATGGAGGGATGGACAGAGGGAAGAAGTAACTATGGAGAGGACATGGGAGGGGAGCTATTGCATTGTGGTAAACTGTGGTCAATGTCATGAGACAAAGCATAAGTGAACCGCTGTATGGAAAGTGAATTTGCCCTGTAAACCTTCACCCAAAAGACAATTTAAGAAAAAAAAAAAAAGAGTATTTTACTTCTCAAATCATGGAAGTAAAGGTTTACCTGAAGTCATGACAGAAAGAAAAAATAAACCTGACTAGGAAGATCTGTTTTTAAAATGTAAAGCTTTGAATCTCTCAGGTCCATAAACTACCCAGATCAGCCAAAATATCCACCTCAACAAAACCACTCCAGAGCCTCTCGGGTCCCTTAGCCAGATGGCTTCAGAGACTCAAGAATCTCAAAACATACTTTGTCACATTAAAACACTAAAGTATACATCAATTACTTCTTAAAAGAATGTTGTTTAAAAAAAATTACAGCCATAGAACTCACAAAAATGTGAACTCTCAAGTGAATAACTGATTGAGTAAATTGTTTTCATTTTGTTAAAATTATAAATATTAGAAATTAGAAAGACTTTGTAATTTAAAGTTTATCTCTGAAAGTTGCTTCTTAAATAGGAGGACAAGAATATTTACATGTCAATATCTGAAAATACTTGTTTTCAGAGGATGTGAAACCAAATGAAAAACATACCTTCTAAGAGCATTTCTGGAATGTCTGCTTGGTATCTAGGTCCCACTCTGATTTCACCTTTGTCAGCTAATAGTGTTTTCACTGAGGGGTCATAGACCAATGAATAGAAAAAGGTATCCTGAAAAAAAATAAAGTATCTATGTAAACTTAATCCCTCCTTTTTATAAAGCAATAAATCTACTGTCACAATAAAGAAAGCATAAAAATTCAAGTGTGTATAAAATTTTATTTCAGTAAAATTTATAAATCTTTAAGGAGAGCATGATGGTGTAACTGTCATCACGTAAAATAGTACAAAATTAAATCAAGCCAAAAGAAATAACTTACAATAAAGATAGATTATAAAGTTTGTTTGAGTCTAAAAGAAAGCCATTATCTGCTCTCAAACTGGGTTTTGAAAAGCTAACCAAGTTTAACTGTAAATCAAAGGTAACACACCTGAAATAGAGTAATGACCTAAACCTCTAAAGCCTGCACCCCTAAAGCAAAGATGCCTTAATGGATACTAGTTCTCTCGCTTTTTAACTGTTCACCACACACTTTATCAAAAACATTAAAATGCATACACGTCCCATATTAAATGAACTATATACATGTTGAGCTTACATGTAATTTACCAACAAATAGGTCAGACTGTGGTCATTTAATTATTTACTAATTTTAATTCTGTAGTTCTTTTCAATTCTGGAGCAGACAGAAAAATGTAACTACATAACCATCACTACTACCACCCCCAAAACATTTTCCAAAAGTCCCCTAAAAAGCCGAAATGCCTTAGTTATGAGCATAATGGACAATATGGCCTGATTGCCCATCTTTTCCTGAATTATGCATAAACACTGAGCAAACAGTCCTGTCCTCTGCATCACATTATGACTATGTTGTGGATAGGAAGACCTATTATTACTATCACGCTTAGACCAAAACCCACATAAGCACACTGCAAATAAGGGATCATATTCTAAAGTTCTCTCCTCTTCAGGCTCTTACATAGTGTGATAAAAGGAAAGGAGAAAACCAGAGAAAGCGACAGCATCCACTGAGAAATTTCAGTGCTGTATTTTAATCATGGATAACTGCAGGAGAAAAGACTAAACAGTAAAACTGTTAAAGGTCACACCAACATATGACAATTTATGCAAATAAAGAAAATGCTATCTATGGGAAAGAAAAAAATCTGCAGGAATATATAAAATAACCTGACTGAAAGGACTTATATGGGACAATAACTATGTAATCAGAGTTTTTCTCTTTAAAAACATATTATGAGATAAGAACACTACTTGGGAACTAGAGTTACTGGCACTGGCTCACCATCAGATTTAAAAGTAGAAATACTACAGGTCACTTTTAATGTGTAAAATTTATTAGTGTGGTACTTCATTAAAAACAACTCTGCGGTACTGCACAGTAAAACAAAATTCAATGTTTATTTAGGGCCACACAGCTGAGATCTTTATACGTACAGGCTGATATGAAAAAATACGTAAAATATATTTACTTTTAAAAAAAAGAAAAAAGACAAAAAGAGTCACAAGAGTTATTTAGAAAATGAGCCAATTTTGAGAATGTAGAGTCACAAAGTAAAGAACAGCATCAGAAATTTTCCCTTTGGATTACTATTTTCAAATGTCAGGCCTCGATATTTTAATGTGACTAAAAACCAAGACAGATTTTCTCAAGAATGGTCTTGTAATAAATAAAATAGCAAATCTAAATAATGAAAACTTTCAATTCAACTGAAAAAGTGTGGTATTTTTAATTAAGAAAAAAAAAAATCCTTAAATACACTGCCAGAAATCAGTTCCTATCCCAAACATTGATAGATATTGTTTTTAGGTGCCACTGAGTCAGCTCTGACTCATAGCGACCCTACATCCAACAGAACGAAACACTGCCTGGTCCTTCACCATCCCCACAATCCTTGCTATACCATCACTGCAGCCACTCTGTCAATCCGTTTCATTCAGGGCCTTCCCCTTTTTCACTAACCCTCTACTTTACTAAGCATGATATACTCCTCCATGGAATTGTCCCTTCTTGGAACTGTCAGAAGGGACAACTGACCAACGTAGGTGAGACAAAGTCTGGACAGTCTGGCTTCCAAGGGCAGATTTGTTCGTTCTCCTGGCAGTTCAAGGCATTTTCCATATTCTTCATCAACATCACAATTCAAAGGCATCAACTCTTCTTCAGTCTCTCCATTATTCACGGTCTACCTTTCACATGCATATGAGGTAAATGAAAATACCAATGCTTAAGTAAGGCACACCTTAGAATTCAAAATGCTGTCTTTGCTTCTTAACACTTTAAAGCAGTCTTTTGCAGCAGATAGGCCCAGGGCAATACATTTGATTTCTTAACTGCTGACTCCTTCGGAGTTGATTGTGGATCTAAGTAAAATGAAATCTCTGAAAACTTCAACCTTTTCTCCATTTATCATGATGTGCTTACTGGTCCAGTTGCAAGGATTTTTGTTTTCTTTATGTTGAATTGTAATCCATCCAGAAGACTGTGGTCTTCGATCTTCATCAGTAAGTGCTTCAAGTCTTCTTCACTTTCAGCAAGTAAGGTTGTGTCATCTGCATATTGCAGGTTGTTAATGAGTCTTCTTCAAATCATTCTTCTTAATATAGTCCAGCTTCTTGGATTATTTGCTAAGTATACAAATTGAGTAAATACAGTGAAAGGATACAACCCAAACACACATCCTTCCTGATTTTCAATCATGCAGTAGTCCCTTGCTCTACTCAAACAGCCTATTAGTCTATATACAAGTTCCTCACGAGCACAATTAAGTGTTCTGGAATTCCCATTCTTTACACTGTTATCCATAATTTGTTATTATCCACACAGTCAATACCTTTGCAAAGTCAATAAAACACAGGTAAACATCTTTCAGTATTCTTTACTTTCAGACAAGATCCAGCAGACAGCAGCAATGACATCCCTCATTTCACATCCTCTTCCAGATCCAGCTTGAGTTTCTGGAAGTTCCCGGTCAACATACCACTGCAACCGTTTTTTAATTCCCTTCAGCAAAATGTTACTTGTGTGTGATAGTAATGATATTTTTCAATAAATTTCACATTCTATTGGATCACCTTTCTTTAGAATGGGCCCAAATATTTATCTCTTCGAATCAGTTGGCCAGGTAGCTGTCTTCCAAACTTCCTGGCATAAAGAAGTAAGTCCCTCCAATGCTACATTCATTTGTTGAAACATCTCAAAGGGTATTCCATCAATTCCCAGAGCCTTGTTTTTCTCTAATTCTTTTATTGTAGTTTGAAATTCTTCCTTCAATACCACTGGTTCTTCATCATGTGCTACCTCCAGAAATAGGTGAACACTAAGCAATTCTTTTTGATACAGTGACTCTATGTATATCTTCTATCTTCTTCTGATGTATCCTGCATCATTCAATATTTCGCTCATGATGTTGTTGTTGTTAGTTTGAGTCCAGTTGGCTCTGACTCATGGCAAGCCTATGTACAACAGAAAGAAACAGTGCCTAGTCCTGCGCCAGCCTCACAATCCTTGCTATACCTGAGCCCCCTGTTTCAGCCACTGTGTCAATCCATATCATTGAGGGCCTTCCCCTTTTTCGCTGATCCTTCATCCTACCAAAGGACAGATTTGGTTCATTCTTCTGACAGTCCTTAATACTTTCAGTATTCTTTGCCAACACCACAACTCAAAACCATCTATTCTCCTTTGGTCTCTGTTCTTCACTGTCCAGCTTTCATGTGCATTGTGAGGTGACTGAAAATACCATGGCTCCGGTTAGGCATACCTCAGTCTTCAAAGAGACATCTTTGCTCTTCAGCACCTGAAAGAGATCTTTTGCAACAGATTTGCCCAGTGCAATCAATTTGTTGATGTTGTTATGTGCCGTCGAGTCGGCCCCGACTCATAGCGACCCCTCCTTGGGTTTCCGAGGCAGTATCACTACGGAAGTAGGATTGCCCAACCTTCCTTCCAAGGAGTGGCTGGTGGGTTTGAACCTCCAGCCTTCTGGTTAGCAGTCAAGTGCTTTAGCCACTAGGCTACCAGATCTCTGCTCTCTTATTTCTTGACTGCTGCTTCCACTGGTGTTGATTTTCATTTGTCAGTTTGTCATACTCTACTGGCTTGCATGTTGCTATGAGGCTGAAGGCTATGCCAGTGGTATTTCAAATACCAGCAGGGTCAACCGTGATGGACAAGTTTCAGTGGAGTTTCCAGACTAAAGACAGACTTGGAAGAAGGAATAGGCCATCCACTTCTCAAAGTATTAACCAGTGAAAATCTTAGGAAATTTTGCCCATAGAATCCTTCAATAGTATAACCTAAGGCTTCAATTTTTTCTTCAGTTCTTTCACCTTGAGAAATACCAAGTGTATTCTTCCCCTTTAGTTTTCCAACTCCAGGTCTTTGCACATTTCGTTACTAATACTTTACTTTGTCTTCGGAGCTGCCTTTTGAAATCTTCTGAATCTGCTGAATAAAAATTTCAGCATTTCTTCCATTCAGTTTAGCTACTTGACATTAAAGAGCAAGTTTCAGCATCTCTTCTGACATCCATTTTGGTCTTTTCTTCCTTTCCTGCCTGTTTAATGACCTTTGCTTTCTTCATGAATGATGTTCTTCATGTCATCCCACAACTTGTCTGGTCTTCAAGTCACTGGTGTTCAATGTGTCAAATCTATTTTTCAGAAGGTCTCTAAATTCAGGTGGGATATACTCAAGGTTGTTATTTTGGCTCTTACAGACTTGTTTTAATTTTCTTCAACTTCAATTTGAACTTACATATGAACAACTGATGATATTTTCCACAGTAAGTGCCTGGCCTTGTTTTGACCAAAGATATTGAGCTTCTCCATTGCCTCTTTTCATAGATGTAGTAGATCTGACTCCTGTATATTACATCTAATGAGGTCCATATTTATAGCTGCCATTTATGTTGTTGAAAAAAGGTATTTTCAATGAGTCATTGGTCCTGCAAAATTCTATCATGCAATCTCCAGTGTCATTTCTATCTCCAAGGCCTTATTTTCCAACTACTGATGTTTCTTCATTTCCAACATTCACATTCCAATCATCAATAATTATCAATACATCTTGGATGTTTGGTCAATTTCAGACTGCAGAAATGAGTTGTTGTTGTTATGTGCTGTCGAGTCAAACCCGACTCATAGCGACCCCTCCTTGGGTTTCTGAGGCAGTATCACTACGGAAGTAGGATTGCCCAACCTTCCTTCCGAGG